AAGCTCCAACCGGCGGCAACCGAATCAGGCGCAGAGGTTTTCAGAGTTAACTACTTCGGAAGAACCGCTTTCTTGGCGCAAAGCCCTCAACTGGCGAAGCAGACTGCTATTTCTGCCGATCTCGGTCGTGTCTTCGAAATTGGGCCTGTTTTCAGAGCTGAGGACAGCAATACTCATCGACACTTAACAGAGTATACCGGTCTAGATCTGGAAATGATGATCCAAAAAGATTACCATGAAGCGATGGACGTGATTGACGAAATGCTGAAGTCCATCTTTAAGGGTATATATTCACGGTATCGCAAAGAGATTGACAACATCAAGACAAGATTTCCCCACGAGGATCTAGTCTGGCTGGACCAGACACCTCGTCTTACCTTTAAGGAGGGAGTTCAATTACTGAACTCTTCAGGGTGGACAGACGATGATGGAAAACCAGCTTCTGAGAACGAGGACCTTGGAACTCGAGCTGAAATCAGGCTGGGACAGTTGGTCAAAGAGAAGTATGGGACCGACTACTTCATTCTCGACAAATTCCCAGCATCGGCGCGACCATTCTATACACACTTGGACCCGAATGACGAGACGGTCACTAACTCCTTCGACATATTCCTTCGCGGTCAAGAAATCACAACAGGAGGCCAGAGAATCAATAATCCAAGAGCCTTAGCTGAGAGAATGAAGAAGGCTGGAGTCGATCCAGAGGGGATGGAAGAGTATATGCAGGCCTTCGAATGGGGCGCGCCGCCTCATGCGGGGTGTGGCATTGGTCTTGAACGCGTAATATTCTTGTTACTGAACCTGGGAGACGTACGAAACGCTACCTTATTCCCAAGAGATCCAAAATCCCTTCCCGCGAAGAAGCCCGATCACAACGGCAAGGTTCCATTCCCCGAAGCTGATACCATCCGATATACTTTCGAAGGAGAGCATGACCACGTCCACCTACCTGATTTAGACAAGCTAATCGTAAACTACGGTGATGCTACAAACACAGCATGGCTCGATGAAAGATATAAGGTATGGCGTGATACAGAGACCGGAGCAGCTGTTGGATACGCCGAAGAGAACGGATACGCGATGATCATGGGCAATCCTCTTTGCGATCCACGCCAGTATCCTATCGTTATCAGCTCTTTCCTCAAATATCTGAAGAAGAGCGAGGACCTACGGCCCATCTGGATCCTGGTCTCCGCACAGGTCGAAGAGATCCTTGGTGCTAAGCTTGGGTGGAGGACACTAACGTGTGTTGCTGAAGAACGTGTGGATATAGAGAATGCGGGCAGGGTCGTCAAGAAGGAACGTCAGGCCCAGAAAGCCGAGATCAAGATACATGAGACAGCGCTCGGCCAGCCGGTTCCCGACGAGGTGCGGCAAAAGTGCGACAAGCGCATTGCCGACTGGAAAGAGAGCCGCAAGGGACGCAAGCAGGTCCACATCACCGAAGTGCAGCCTTGGATATCCATGGCTCATCGGCGCTATGTGTGGGCCGAAGACAAAACAGGCGAAATCGTCGGTCTCGTCATCTTGCACCGCCTCTCCCCCGAGCACGGATACCAAATCAAGTTTGCGCTTGACTTCCCTGGCTCGCCATCCGGCAGTATCGAAGCTCTCATCTCCCACGCTATCCAAACTTTAATAGCTTCAGGGGTTAGCAGCGTGACTTTCGGTGCCGGTGCCATGGAGGAGCTTGTCATCGGAAGCAACCTCAATGGTATCAAGGCCAAGCTCCTAAGTCGCACTTACAAGACTGTCGCTCAGCAACTCAGGCTAGTTGCGAAGAGCGAATTCAGAGAGAAGTTTGGCGTGAAGCACGATCCGGTTTACATATGTTACCCATTCATGGGTCTAGGAGTCTCCGGCGCCAGGACGCTGATTAAATTCTTCGAGGACGAGATGTGAAGATAGATTTTATCTGCGCCTGAAGCATTATTACTGTTTTTTGTCATTTTTCCTTTTTCTCGCTATAACAAAGCATGGCTAGGTGGAGATATTCTCGATTCGATCGATATACCAGGGTAGATGATCTGGGACGCATTTGATGACTTTTTTTACCTTTTTCTTAATGATGGCAGATACCCATTGTGGATAATAAATATTGGGCGATTTAATGATAGAAAAGAAAAGTAATAAAGAAGACGCCATAATGATTTGGAAGTTTTATCGTTATTATGGTGTCTGATCTAGTGAGGGCTCTGGCGGCTCAACTCAGCTTTTGTAGACATTGGTGGTTGGATCGTCTGGGTTTGGCGACATAGGTAAATGATTAGAATTATAGATGTAATAGACTAATAGACTATTGTCGTACTATGTCGATGAAAACTATTCATGTTATATTCGAAATGATTTTGTGGTCGTTCCGTGTACTGTATGCTTGACTTATACGTAAGAAAGAGCCAACTATTATGGGGGAAGACAATATGAAGAAGGTAAGTGGCTCAAGTGGGCGTTCTTCGAAACCGGAGTCGAATCACAAAAGCTGGTATATGGCCGTTTTCTACTTAGGGGCCCCCGGTGGCATCTCCTTCAAATCTTCAAATCTCGTATAAGTGGTGCATAAATTAGCCTGCGCCGGAGCCAGGGGTCCGCTAAATGCATACCGCATTTGCGACTCATCCCGGCCGTTCTACCCAATCTTGACAGCGGCGCCGTTGTAACCACGCCATGGCAAGCGGGCTAATAAGTCCCCACGACTCCTGAATATGGTCCCGGGAAATTTCAAAGCGAAAGAGTATGTAACTACTCGGGGCGTCGGGTTAAATATATTTAACTACCTGGTATTCCCCTTTATGTGTTCTATGTAGGGAGGCATTCTCAAGACAATATTCTCGCGAATCCGATATCCTGAACGACTCACCAGCAGCAGCTATGGTCGCCCTCAAATTCCTCACTGTAGCCTGTCTGGCGACTTTCATCCCAGACGCCTCGGCGCTTCTTGCATTTCCTGGGGCCGAAGGGTTTGGTCGAAACGCGGTTGGTGGTAGAACGGGATCGGTTTACCATGTGACGAACTTGAAGTGAGTGTAGTCACGCATATATTCAGATTTACTATCCTAACGAAGCGCGTTAGCGACTCTGGGGCGGGATCCTTCCGCGACGCTGTGTCAAAGTCGAATCGCATCGTTGTCTTCGACGTTGGAGGAACCATTAAAATCACCAAGCGGATTGCGGTCTCCAAGAATATCTACATTGCTGGCCAGACGGCGCCCGGTAATGTAGGTCTCTAAGTGTTTATCTACTGAGATATATCACATATATTCTATGCTGTGTGCTAATATTTCGATAAGGGAATCACGATCTATGGCAATGGTCTCTCATTCTCCAATGCCAACGATGCCATCGTGCGTTATGTTCGAATCCGCATGGGCAAAGGCGGTGATTCCGGAAAAGGTAGATAGTCTTCCCCTTTCGGTGGATGGCGCCGAATGAGTTCACATACTAAAACCCGCCAACAGATGGTATCACTATTGCCGAAGGTAACAACATGATCTTCGACCACGTGTCGGCGACTTGGGGTCGCGATGAGACCTTCTCTATCAACGGAGCCGTGCACAACGTCACGGTACAGAACACCATCATCGGTCAGGGCCTGCAGACCCATTCATGCGGTGGACTGATGCAATCGGACTTTGGCATCAGTCTCTTTAGGAACCTGTACATCGATAATAAGACGAGAAACCCTAAAGTCAAGGGCATGAACGACTTTCAGAACAATGTAAGCTTTTACCGAGAGCGATCTTTGATTCTCGATGGATTCACTGGTTTCTAAATCACTTGTTAGGTCGTTTACAACTGGGGAGGAGGCGGTGCTTACATCGCTGGTGACAGTGACGGCCAGAGCCATGCCAACATCATCAACAACTACTTTATCTCCGGGCCTAGCACAAGCGTCACTGCATTCACGCGGGGCAATGCCAACTTCCACGGCTGTAAGTATACTGGTTAATTTTTTATCTCCGAGATGCTCACTATACCAGTCGTGTCCGAGAATTACTACGATAGCAACAAGGACGGCAAGCTCAACGGGTCTCCCCTCTGCGTCCAGACCAGCTGCTACAGTAACATGGACATCCAGAAGACGAAGTTCGACTATCCCGGCCCAGAGCGCCTAATGTCAGCACCGGATGCGGTTACCTTCGTCCTCAACAACGTCGGCGCCAACTTCCCCGGACGCGATGAGATTGACAAGGGACTAGTGGCAGAAGTGCAGAGTTTCGGAAAGGAGGGCGAGCTGATCAGCTCCGAGAACTCAGGTGCCCTGGACAACACGAAGGGAAACGCGCCGAAGGACACGGATGGGGACGGGATCCCGGACGCGTGGGAAGACGCGCACGGGCTGAATTCCCGGGATGCGAGCGACGCGATGAAGATCAGCAGTTCTGGATATGCGAATATTGAGGTGTATCTTAACTCTCTCGTTCCCTCTTCTAATTGAAGAACTCGAGCAAGACTTACATACCTACCTAGGTAGGTATTGGTAGGAGTAGCAAGTTGCATATTTATTAGTTTTACCCTTTGTCAAAGATTTCAGTGAGGACCACCATCAAATTTGTAACCGCTGATATGAAGTGACTACCCTATCTATTGATTTCCTCTGAGTACCTAGTTTATGCTGCGAAATAAAGATATATATATATATATATATATACCACTGGAGCTATACGTATAGCCCTTCCAAGAAGATATGAAAACTCGTAATATATTCGGTAAGAAGAAAGTGCTTTAATGTCTCTCGTATCATTAAGATGCATGGAAGCTCGATGTGCTTACAGTGGTACGAAGTACATGGGTATTAGTTACAAAGTACATACAAAGCGAAACCGCGCGCACAGGCCACTGACTCGATTTAAACTACGCCTATTCCTACTTGGGTAAAAAACGGCGACTTCTGCACGCACTAAAACTTTGGGATATATAGCGTTACGAAAAGGCTCGCCATCACCAGCAACTATCCCTCGGAAGGAAGCCCACTTCCTTCCGTAGTATTGCAAGCACACCGTCCCTTGGTGGTGTAGTTGGTTATCGCGTTCGGCTGTAATTGAATAAAAATTGTTACCGAAATGTCGCCGGTTCGATTCCGGCCCGAGGGATCATTTACTTTTTTTGCTTTTTCTCCAAATTGTTACTTTTACTTACTTTCTCTTTTAACGGTATTTTGCAACCTAGAAGAAAGTTTCTTCTTTACTTATTTTCTTTTTATCATCCGTATCAGTGTCGCATTCTAGTCATTTTATGCTTCCAAGTTTCATCCTTCTTAATAGGTAGGACATCATACTATTTAGGTAGTCCTAGTAATTTCTCCTAAACACTCTTTTTCATATTGACTTTTATTTTCTACATTTCAACAACCCCCGTCTGAACGAATTATATTTGAAGTGATATATGCACATCATATATTAACCAAAGTTTGGTTAGGCTTTCTCTATTGGTGGTAGCTTCAAGAGGGTTACGTTCCTTCAGGATCCCCCCCTGGGTAATCAGATGCAAATCTCCGTTCGGCAGTAAGTACACGATGCGATCATCGGAGAACGACGTGAGTCACATTAGATGATTAAGTCTTTGTGAAGCTGTGTTTCTTTATTGGCATCTTGATAGTAACCATAACTCAATGGAGATACTCGACTAATTACGTTGTTGCAAACGTAAATAGCATATACTTAAAGATATATGTACTAACTAACCTAGGTAGCTGTATAAAAACACAAAGTGCCGTATCCCATAGTCTTAATTAGCATGGCATAGTATAAACTAACAAGTTATTGTCTAAGAAGATACAATCATAACATCAGAGAGTCAGATGGGAAACCACCCTGGGTGGACGAGATGCCCACGAACTAAAACTTCATCTATCGTACTCTTAGTTGAGTACAGAGTATCATTTAAAACTACTCCCGCCATTGTAAAGCTTTGCTACTTCACGAACAAGATTATTTCAGGTAATATGCCTGGGGATATAAGAATGACAATGATATTAAGTGACTGTCCTAAAAGTGCATACCACTCTTCCAGCCCGACTAAAATCGTCTTCAACAATAAGACAAGGTCGTTGGCATTAATTCTCAATCTTGGTATCCGTATAGTTAGTTCCAACCCAAGTTCATGTATTTTATTTTACCACACAAGTCCCTCCGGTTCCCCTATTCATACCCAAGGGATACCATCCCCGGCCCCTATGGGCCAGGTCCCATAAGCAAACTCATTCCCATTATCATTATCAAGTAAACCGTATAACATATACCCCAAAGTATACCCAACCCATAGATATATCCGAGTCGTGAAAGATAGAAAGGTAGATGAGTGATATAACCCCATGATTGTGTACTTCATTTCCTTCCCTCTGTGGTCGGGCTCATGGAACCACGGTCAGACTTTTCCGTAGGCGAGCGTCCGAGGTCTTTCAAGGTTTCTGTGAGTCGTTGGCGCATCGATCGCTTCTGCTTGGCATCTCCCTGGCTCTTTTCCTTGTCGATCGAGTATGTAGTTGAACCTGAGTAGGTTGAGGCAGATGAAGGCTTAACGTCAGACTGTGGTGGTTGTTGTTGTTGTTGTTGGGTTTGCGTTCCGGATTTCTGGCATTGGGCTGCCTGTCTCTTTTGGTCTTGGTGATGCGGCCAAATCAGTTCTGGGTTTGTCATCGCCAATGACATCGAGACAGCGGCCGACGTAGTTCGGTAGCAATCTTGGCACATCTTGACAAGAATGTGTAGGAGATTTTCTTTTCGTTAGGAGTTTGTAGTATGGTTGAATGGAGTAGTTGATATCGAATATCTCGTAATGTCTATTGAAGAACTACCAAATTGTATATGTACCGAGTATGGTATGGGGATGATAACGGAAGATGGATTTGATACTAATGAAAGAAAGATACACCAACCTGAGAAGAAAGGCATCGACTTTATAAGAGACTCTACCTACACTCTAACTACACTCTAGGATCGCTCTATTCGCTCTACTCGCTCTACGTGGTATGCCGACGTGACTAATAGGCAGCTATGATACATTGCAGCAGGGATTCATGACACAGCTTCCAAATAACTTGACAATGAAGGTGTACTACTATGAGGCTACGCAAATCATTCACTTCCATCTGGTTGGCCAGACGCAGTTCATTTTAGTGATCCTTGGCAGTGCAAGGGAGCAGGTGATAGCAGGCTTATACGCCCATTGTACCCAGATGTAAGCAGCCTACAGACGCGGAAATAGAAGATGACCTGGGTGAGCTTATGGTGCAACATTGAATACCAATTGCCATTGGTCACTTTGTATTTAATTCTATCATATTTGTAGCCTTTATTTTAGGTAATTACTATATCATAGTTATTTGAAGCAAACATTTAATCGTCAAGCTACCAGATATCTGAATCCAACTGATCCCAGTTGAATGGATCATTAGATCTTGGGCATCTAGTATGGATACCTAGATAGATTCTTGTTTTTCATTACGCCCTGCGAAATCGGATTCGAAGTCCGTCCCGCTGAGGCTACAAAATCAGATATACGCGTCCGGCGCCAACTCAAGACGCATCTTATTAGTGCGGGAGGATACCGTATTGGGAAAGTAAAGGAGGGGGGGAGGAAGCTATGTAGGTACCTAGATCGAATCACACAATCGCTAATATTCCCAAAATATCCCCAAATCGTTCCCCGAAACTTCAGCTTGGAAATTGGGGAATATTCCGATTCCACCGGGTGACTCACACTATAAAAAAAAGACGTACATGTCCACAATATATGTTCCAATGCATTAATGTTAGGCATAATCCATACCCTATACCTGTAAAATGCGTGGGACAACGCTTTACCCCGGCCCGCCGCCCGGCACAAACCGAACAATTGAACGGGGCCCGGGGACACCGGTCTCTTAACTATCTGTATTAACTGCATTAACTAGTCTAATGCGTGAAAGCGTTTCGTCTGGGGTTTCCTCTTTTCGTTTTAGTTACTTCAGCTCATGATAGGTATCTAAGGTAGTTTTTTTGAATACGAATTTGCATTTCCGGTTAATATTCACGATTTGACTCACGACATTACTTGATAACTACTTGTTACACACAACGTCAGACAAGGCGTTTTTCTCGTAATCATATAATGACACATATTTTAAAGACATCGAGAACGCATGACATATTAGACACCGCTTTTGGGATCATTCTCTATCAGGTACCTCTCCGATGAGAGATATGCTCGAAAATGCGATCATGCAAAAGGTACACGAAGTATGCATGCATCAGCAGATGATAAGATTTATTTAATTAGCATCTATCGCTGTTAAGACACCAATGCTGAATATAATCAAATTCAATGCTCTTTGAACTATCTGCCATGTAGCCCTCGTTTCTATTTTGGAAACTTTCAATTCAGGGTCTTCGTCCACGTCGCTTCTATTAAAACATCAAAACATCAAAACAAAATACGCTTGTCATGGTGAACCTCGTCGTAGTCTGGTATTCTTCTCAGCCTTTGTGGCCTTCAATACCTATCTACAACCAACACCTCTCAAACCGAACGCTGATCGCTTAGAAACATCGATGAAATCCCAGCCGCTATCTAAACACCGGCAGAGCAGTGTAATCGGGGCACAGATAGCACATGTCGCTATGTCGTAATGGCAGAAAATAAAAACCAAACCATCGCATTGACGTCTATTCCAGGCTCGCTATGCAAGGAAAAAATCAGAGACGTCTAATCATCCCCTCGTCAAAACCAGGTAGGGCACCCAGGATACACCAATAACCTCGCGCATCGGCCTCGCGTAAATCAAAGAAAAGAACATGCCATCATCCAGTCCTTTCCGTTCGCCCTATCCCTGTATAATGAAACCAAACCAATCCTCAAACCTGATCCCCGCCCTCATCCTGTTCTCGTTCCGTCTTTTCCTGATCTTCTTCAGTTTGGTCTTGTTTATCTTGTCCTTGCTCTTCGTCGACCTGCTGTAGATCTATCTTGTTCTGGTCTAAATCTCCCTTGTCCTGGTCTTCGTCCTCTTCCCGAGCTTGAGTCTCCTTCTGGCCTTGGTCTTCATCCTGGTCTTGGTCTTCGTCCTGGTCTTGGTCTTCAGCCTCACCTTGGCCTTCAGCCTCGTCTTGGTCTGCAGCCTGGTCTTGATGGTTGCCATCGTCAGCCACCCCGGTAACCAAACGCTTGACGACCTGTTTTAGCGTCATCAAGCTGTTTTCGGAGCACTTGTGCAACTCATTGAATCGGCCGATTAGCACCGATTGCAGACTAGGTAGGGCGTCTTCTTCGCCGAACTCAAAACTAGTGAGCTCGGCTAGTCCAACCCTATCGAAGGTCCTGATGGTATCACCCCACTGACTGTCACCAAAAACGTGACCCCACGCGTACCACGATCCATGTCGTAAGAGGCATTCCTCAAAGACAGTGATGCGCTCGAAGAAGCTGGGATCCGAGTCGTACCAATCCAAGTGGGCAGTAGAGAAGCCTGATCCCATCGCAGACAGCAAATAGTAAATCATGGTACAATCCTGGTTGGATAGGCTGCGGATGTACTCGTGCTGCGCAGGGCGTGCGCGGTAGTTGGTATAAGGGTCTAGCATACGCCAACCCTGAAGTAGACTGTGATCTAGCCACCAATGTTTGTGGGCTTCTCCAAACCATTTTGGCTCAGGGGGTCCATAAGGCGCATTGGCCGCAATGTCTGCAATGGAATCGCATTGCGCGAACGCACGTTCCAACAGGGAACATAGATGTCTTTGCTGGGGATCGGTAAGTTCTCCCAAGTGCGGTGGTGACTGAAGATTGAAGTAAGTCGAGGCGGTGAGGATCCTCTTGGCCCGGGATTGTCGGGTCTCTAGTTCCTTTACCATCTCAAAGTTTCCATGCTTTACGACGCGTCGTAAACCCACTTCCGATGAAAACACGTCCCCAGTGGGCGAAACCGTGAAACTTGCTATGCGCGCCAAAGACAATGAATGCTCATATTTGATGATGAGCTCATTGATTTCCTATATTCGGGATCTGTTAGTTTTTTTTCTTAAATATAACTAACCAGCTAATAGAGATATTTAAGAAATTTTTTTTTTTTTTTTTTTTTTTAAAAAAAAAGGGTCTTACCTTGCTTGTCTCCCGA